AAAGGTCCAGCTAGAGCAAGACCACGAGAGGTGATGGAACATCAAGAGAGCTGCAAGCCCTAATGGGATGCCTGTTACTGGCAGGCTGGCGGCAGGAACTGAGCAGAAGAGCGCGAGCCAAGGACATGGCTCCTGCTTGCAGGGCATGTGGGCAGGGTAGTCAGAGGCACTGCCATGGGGGTGGGGGGTACAGCTAGTACATGTTATAGTAGCTCAGTGAAGGCACAGAGCTCTGCGGAGGCCACCACATGGCACTACCCAGGGGTTGTCACTCTGTCTACCTGAATGGCACCAGTGGAGTTGGGCAGTGCCCAGCCTGTGCAGCACCATGACCAAAGTATCAGGATGAGCTCCCCAGAGGAAACAGTCTGATACAATATGACTCCAGAGAGAACAGGATCCCCAGAGAATGCCCCCAAGCCCCAGGCAGGGCTAGCACCTACTTTAGCATCTGGGTACCCTCTGGATCCCTCCTAATCTGGTCTCTGAGAGCTTTAATGCATGGAGTCCACTGGTCTCCCCTAGAACTGCAACCATGTCTGAAAGGAGAGAAGTGGGGACAGATGGAGGGTATGATCCACATAAGTTACCTGGCCTGTTCTGAGCCTTAGTTTCCTACCTGACGAAACGGGGATAATGTCCACCTGCACTATGAGGATTCACACCACACACATAGCAAATCAGAGCTCCCAGGGCTCAATAGAATCATAGTTATTATTACTGCTGCTCTCTCTGGATAAGGTGGCTCTGGCTAGCAGTGTGCTAAAGGGTTTGTAAATCAGAATATCACATCTCTACCAACAAGTACAGGCTTTGGCATCAGTGTTGGTTGAGCCAGGGTGCAATCATTATCTAGGTGATCTTGTGCCAACCTCTCCACATTTCCAACTTCTTCAGTGTCCTATGGGGTTAGTGTGCAAGCTCAACAACATCATGCATACAAAACAGCACAGTGAGCAGCCAAAAGGAGTGCTTAGTGAGCACTTAATATCACCATTTTTAATAGGCGCAAAGCTAGAGAATGCTAGGCTGTTCCATTCGTACCTCAGCAAGCGTTTATGGAACATATATAAGGTATCAGGCAAAATCCCATGTGCTGCTACACAGTAGGACATGGTCTCTGACTTCAAAGTTTAATTTCCAGTGGGATGTTCTAATTTTGAAAGGTTCGTCAGGGGAAGACGAGGAGGGAAAGATGAGGATGACAGAATAAGTTTAAAGGGGGCTTTATTGCGTTCCTGGACAAACTTCACGGACCCAAGGTGGGGGCCGGTGAAGCCGCGCCTATTGTCAGGGGAAGGCAGGAGTTTATAGGATGGGGAGAGGGAAGCCGGGCTTGCAGGTAACGAGGAACAGTTGTTTTCTGATGGTATCAGCAGGTCCTCATTCTCGGCCCTAAGTGGGCTTCCTTCCAGATGCCTTTTCATCCTAGTAACTCTGGTTCCCGCCAGACCTTTCAAATTTGACGGGTGCTTACGAGTCATCTGTTTAGTACAGAGGTTCTCCATGTGGCTGGGCAGCAGAATCTGCCAGAAAGTAGTTTACAAAGGCAGGAGCTCAGAGCCCCGGTCCTTCCTCCCTCCTCCCCCCTCGCTGGCAAATTCGGATTGAGTGAGTTTAGAATGGAACCTGAAAGGTCCATGCAAGAAGCCAGAATGCAAAAGCCCACCAGGAAGCCCACCTTGGGCAGGAACGCAGGAGCCTGCCTAGAAAATTCAGACAATGAACCCCTCCCCGCCCTAGAATCGTTTCCCACCCTTGCAAACCCAGGCTCCCACCTGCTCTCTCCTCACCCTGTAAAGCCTGCCTTCCCCTGGCAACGTGTGCGACTCCACACAGGGGTCCCCACCTTGGGTCCGTGAATTTCGCCTGGGGTGCAATAAATTTTCCCTTCCTTTGAGGAAGTTTGGCCTGGCTCTTTCCTTTACCACACCGAACGTTTCATCTTGGTGCCTGAAACCCGGGAAGGCTGTGTCCCCTGGTGCCAGGGCCTCCTTCCCGTCCCTGGGACTCTCCTCTCCATTGCAGACCCTCACATCCACCACCGGCCTTGACCCTTGGGGTAAGTCACCTGCCTGACCCGCCTTCCTGGGAGGCCCTCACCTCTGGGTATTCAGCTCCTCACCTAACCCTCTCCCTCAGTCGGCTGTTCCGTAAACCATGGTGGGTCCATGTCAGCCGACTCCACTTACACCTAGACCCTGGCTTTGGGGACGCCCGTCCAGACTAGGTGCCCGAATCCTAGGCAACAAAGGAGTAGTGGAGATGACCCTCTCGTTTGTTTGTCCCGTACCGAAGGCCAGGACGGAATCATGGGATGCCACGATTGTGGGCCTGTGCCCCTCGACGGCCAGATCAGGTTCGTGGGATGCTGACTCTGTGCCCCCGTTAGTTGGTGTAACGAACATATAAAACTTACAAGTAAAATTGACAATGTTAAGGTGCCTGCAAGCACTGTGAGTGAAAGTAGCTGAGGCCACATATGGAGTGGTAAAGACTGATAAAGCAGACAGTGCCTGAGCCTAAACCTGGTAAGAAGGTATAAAAGGAGCAGCTCCCTGAAGCAGACTCAGAGCAGTCCTAACAACTGGCTCGGAGCAACAGACTCACTGGAGGCTACTCTTCCAGAGTCCAGCTTGCTGCCTCCCTTTGGACTCAGACTCGCTCTCCAGCTGAAACCTCTCCTCGCTCCTGCTGCTAGCTCGCTCCCAGGTTTGGCACACCAGGAAACTTGCACTTTCAGGCTCTGCTCCCCGTGACCCCGGTGGCCTGCTCCCTGACAGCAGCCCAAGGGGTCTATCAGCTCAACACCCTGCACGACCATCCGCACTGCGTGCCCTCGAGCCTAGAGACTTCCACGGCCTAAGGACTTCCACCTTGGTGGAAGGCCCGGCTAACACACTTCGCGGCGACTGTCTTCAGTCTAATGTACTTTGGGAACTTGGGGTTGGCTTGCCTGTATGAACATAAGTGTGTGTGACTAATATAGGAAAAAATTTCTCTTTGAGAGCCAACTTCTGACTGAAGCTTATCTATCACGCTCGCGACAATGTATTGTTTACTAATTGTATTAAAGTTCCTTTCCAGGGCCTCCCTGGTAGCACAGGTGGTTGAGCGCAGTGCTGTGAAGCTGTCTGCAGCCTCTGCAGTGCCAGTTCGATCCCCACCGGCCTCGGAACAACCCACATGGTGAGCAGACCTCTCCAGTCTCGCCTACTACTCCCTTCAGCAGTGTATTTCGTCATTCTGCCTGTTCTGTTCCCCGCTCTGTCTCTGGTGAATCCTCTCACCCTCCTGTGCATATGGACTGTACCCTGGTTCTTGCATAAATAAAAAAATAAAAAAAAAAATATAAAAATAAAAGTTCCTTTCCATTAAAATCTCATATGTTTTGTGTTGATGCAGCCGATGGCAGAACCTATTTAGAGCAGGCAGGTTTGTGGGGTCTGGGGTGCCCTTCTCCCTGCATACCAGATATTTTAGAATGTGGATTTGAGGATAATCTTACGCACACAAAGTCCACCCAAATGGAACTGGCCCAGAGCAAGGCCCAGAAGCCTGCCCCAAGTCCAAAGCACCTTTCAGTGGGAACCCACAGGAAAGGATCAGAAACAACCAGACAAGTCTGGGAGGAAAAGAGCAAAATCAAGACAAGAACCACCATTGTCACCTCCCCACGGGTCTGTCACCCACATCTGTGTCACCCAGTCCACGACCAAAAGGCAAGAGCAATTTGTCCACATGTCTGTCAGTTCCACGTGTCTCCTCCAGGTTTCCTTTTAGCTCCATCTTGCTTCCTTCCTTCCTCCATCCCTTCTGCAGCTTCTTCCTCTCCCAGCTCAGCTCCAACCTCTCTTGGGTGGGGCAAGAAACCAGAAACCCCCTTTCCTGGGGACCACCCCATTGCCAGGACACAGTGCTTGGGAATGCAGAAGAGCTCCATTTGTACTTCCAGGTCAGCACAGCAGATATTTTAGACTGTGGATTGAGGATGATCTTAATGATTGCTGAATAGTTTTCCTTGTGTATATGTATCACATCTTCTCCATCCAGTCATCTATTTTTGGGCATTTGGGTTGTTTTCATATCTTACCTATTATAAATAGTGCTACAATAAACATAGGGGTGCCGTTTTCCTTTTGAATTAGTGTTTTTGTGTCCTTTGGGTAGATTCTTAGGAATGGAATTGCTGGATCATTAGGTAGATCCATTTTTAGTAATTTGAGGGTCTTCCACACAGCTCTGAATAATGTTTGGACAAGTTTGCATTCCCACCAGCAATATAGGAGAGTTCCTTTTTCTCCACATCCTCACCAGCATTTGTTGTTTCTGTTTTTTTCATTTTTCATGTGGGCTTTCTCACTGGAGTGAAGTGTACCCCATCTTCTTGATTCAAGATCCCCTGATTTAAAACACAATGAGAAACCACTTCACACCTGTGAGAAGGGCCCATATCAAAAGGACCAGACATAACAAGAGCTGGCAGGACATGGAGACAAGGGAACAGTCCTGCACTATTTTGGGGAATGTAGACTGGTTCAGCCCTGCTGGAAAATGGTGACCAGGTTTCTTAGAAAATTAACTGAGCACCTGCCATAGGACCCAGCAGGCCCATTCCAACGTATCTACCCTGCCTCAACAGCCCATGAGAAGTTCTCAGCTATGAAGGAAGACTCAAAGTCTAAATGAATTAGCAGCAGGGGGAGGCTGGGGAGAGACCTCTAGGGCGGCTCTGCCTCTCACTTTCCCAACCCAAGCTCTTATTAAAGATATGAACAAAGGGATAAGGAAATAGTTTGCAATTGTGTTTATGCTTATACAAATGAATAAGTTACTGCAGGAACAAGTTTTTCTAGTTAGTAGGGATCATGCCACAAGTCAGCATGTCCTCAGGGAACAG